TTTTGCAGACACTTAAGTATATAGTCTACTTCATGTACATGAGTAATCCTGCTGACTTCAATGAGACTGCTAGCGTAGGTAAAAGCTATGCATGTGCATAATTGTCTGTAGGATGATCACCAAATTGGAGCATCCTCGTTGTGCATTCACACCCTTAATGGAAACAGATCACCTGTTCAAAATTGTTTAGGTAAAATTACTTTTAATCAATAAGCTAGTGAATTTTCAATTTTCATAGCAGTGGGACTTAGATATACAGATGAAAGGAGTTGTTGACTTACTGCAACCACAAATACTGATGGGGCAAAGTAGTTTTTATATTCTCTTGCTTGGAAGGCTATGGATTCAATTTTTTAAAAACTGGTTTCTTTGCACTTTTTCTGAAATTCTGAGCGAACAAGTTGTTTACCCAAGAGTTTAATGTTGAGAGCATGTGACAGTGGAAGGGCTTTCTTTTATATAGCAGTTAAGTCAAAATGCATCCTTGACACTGTTCAGTACTTAACCCTTTATTTTTAACTTTGAAAACGTACCTAGAAAAATTAAATTAAACTTCATGAGTTTTAAGGGTTTTTTTAATGACCAGTAGAAATATTGTTGAAAAAAGTCCCTCTGTTAGAATTTAGGTAGAAAATGTGGTAGTCATCCTGTTCTAGTGCATATGTTTCCTATGTACCAGGATGCAACATAGATGCAAAACATTGATGCAATGCATCATGAAAAGCTAGTTTGTATTTAATGAGAAGATGGCTTTACACTGTACCTTTTGATATTTTTTTGGAGACGTTACAACATTTGGATCTATTCTGAAGCTTGTTGGTTTTTTAAAAATAAAATGTTACAGGTTTCACATTTTGTGCCTGTTTATAAATCTTTGGCCAGTATATTGATGAATTATGCAGATTTTGAATATCCTGCAAGGGGGAATTCAGTACTTATTAACTGTAGCTGTTAAACTTTCAAGGAACATACAGAAAGTAAACATAAAGAAATCTGTGCTCTTGAGTCAGCACATCCTGAAATGTGACAAGCACTTCCTGCCGTTGTATTGTTTGAACTGTGAATTTTATTTGATGAATATGTTAATTAAAACTGACATTTCTGAGCCTATTGGAAAATACCATCAAACTGAAAAGAGCCTGTCACAGACTATGTCAATCAGCTGAAAATCTGTCAGTACAAATGCTACGTTCCATGCTGCTTTAGAATGGTTCACTGCTCAGAAGATAAACTTTAATTTAAACTAGCATTATAGGATCAACATTTTTGTCCCTGGCAGATTCCCCTTCAGTCTGAAA